ATTTTTATTTGTTTGATCGGTTTTCTTTTTTTTTTTCTTAAAATACATTGTTTGATTTGTGTCCATGCAGTTGTTGTTTTTGCTTTTTAAGAAACAAAAAAAGAAAAAGAAATTATTCAGATTTACTAGAACATTGAATTAGAATTTAGTAAATTTGAATATTTGATTAACTCAAGTGGAAAAAAAATATTTGTTTTTTCTATTTTGATAAGAAAAATAAACATTAGCATTCAAAGTTTAGCATTGATACAATCATCGTTTAGGTTTAGTTTTATGAACAAAGACAAACAAAAAAAAAAAAAAAAAAACTTAATTTTGAAACGAGAAAATAATATTCTCTATTCATTTGTATGAATATTAATTATTGTTCTTATATTCGAAGCTTTGGTTTTAAAGATAGAAAACTATTATGTAAAGAAATACTTAAAAAAAGGCACATTTTGGATAAGAATATTCGTCTATTTTATAGTAAAACTTAAAATTATGTGTACAAGGACTCTCTCTTTTTTTTTATTGATATCTAATTGCAATTTTGATATTATTGAATTGTTATATCATATATTGTCAAAATATACCTTGCAGGCGTCTCAAAATATAAATAAGTGACCATCAAAAAAACTTTTAATAATATGCTATTTTATAAGTAGATATGAGTTTTATTAAACATTTTCTTTAAAGTAGTCGAACAAAAGCGACTTAAAAAACTCATTAAAATAATGGAAATTAATAGTGATGGATACAATAGAAAGACAATAGGGTATCAATATTTCAACATTTCTTATATGCACGATCAATAAAACTTATGAAACATTAAAATGACTATTTCTTTTCTTGATTAACAAAAGTAAAGATAGAATGCTTTCATCTGTGAATATTAGCAATATGACTTCTCTTCTTGTTTTACAAATCAATGAATAGATAAAAATTTGACATGAAATCAAGAACATTAACAAAAATTTATTTGTTTCATGATGAAGTTAACAAGGAAAGATGATTTCTCTAATGTGAATCCATTACTGACAATCAACTATAACTACATTCATTTATCATATAGTAATAAAGATAATTTAATTTCATATAAAGTTCTTGTTTTATATAATTCAAAAATGAATCATGTATTTGTAAATGTGTCATGTATTTAGGAAGGTTTGAATATAATCCAGCACTAATTTTTATCACTATAAAAATTTGTTCTATTCGATTAAAAAAATCAATTTTTAGAATGCTTCACAATATAACCAACAAATATTTTTCAACTGTTGTTTCATTGAAACATATATTTTGTCATACCAATCCAAATAATATTGAATTAATATACCAGTAATAGATATATCCCGGAAGAAGGTTTTTTGGGTTTCGCTTCCGATCTAGAGAAAACTATTCTAGAATTTATTGACATCACATCTAAAACCATCCTTCAATACTCATTCTCTTTTTATTTATGTAGTCGACGATCAGCACTTATTTGGGTCATCTCTTTGAAATTATGTTCTGATTGATATGATTTATGAGATAATTCACTTATAAACCATAGGATACTTTACTATAAATTTGAGTTCTGGTGGTGACAAATTTTTTTTCTCATTGTTTCGGCCTCGGCCGCAGCAAATTCTCTTTCCCATGGTTCCGGTTCTAGTCTCAGCAGCTTTTCTTTCTCGTGATCCTAGTCTTGACAATTTCTCTTTCCCGTGGTTCCGGTCTTGATATCGACAACTTCTCTTTCTCATGGTCCTGATCTCGGCATTCTCTCCTTGTCCTGATCCCAACAAGCCTTTAAATTTGGATCCCGCACATCTTTACTCAGTATGTATTGTCTTTTTTATATCCATGAAACAAAACTATTTCTTTGATTTGATTTTCTAATTTAATGAAATGCAACTATTTATTTATTGTTCGTATTAATATTGAACATGAAACTGATGTTGAGTTATAAAAGACCTTAAATTCGATAACAATATCAACAAGCAATAAATCAAGATTATCGAACTAATTTGTTCGAATAAATTGATAAAATAAGAGATATACTTAGAATACAGCTTAGCGTGTCAGAAAAATGTTTTTATTTTCAATATTTCAATTTTAATTTTACATTAAAAAAATTTAGTCTTGAACCAAATAGTCAAAGTCAAATAGAATTTAATTTGATACTTGAACTTGGATTAGCTCAAAAGTAAATACTATACGATTTATTATTCCAACAACCATTGCATCTCATTATAATTCTCATATAAGAAATAATGAACTAAATTATATAGTACAAGGATCATATATATATATATACCGAGTGTCCCAAAAGTTCCTTCTACTTAAAGTTTTTGTAGATCTTTACTATTTAATTTCACTTTATCAACTATTGTTTTTCTAAATGATAGAAAGATACAGCGAGTTTTTATTTATAAAGACAAACTTCAGACGTACTGCTCAATGCTAAGACTTAGAATCGAAATACAAAAATGTAGCCTATTTTCTATTCCCAGAAAAACTTATGCATGATATCTGTTCTAATTGATGGAATATTGGCGTGACAAGATCCAATTCGTTTATATGAAGACATACCAAAGTAAAATTCTATGAAAAAAAGACTCGTTAAAAATTGAAGAACTCAAATATCTGAACCACTTAATAACGCGAAGTGACTAAAAAAGAAATTTTGTGTAATGTTTTTCTGGGAATAGAAAATAAGCTACATTTTGTATCTCGATTCTAAGTCTTAGCTTTGAGCAGTACTTCTGAAGCTTATCTTTATAAATAAAAACTCGGTGTATCTACCTATCATGTAGAAAAACGATAGTTGATAAAGTAAAATTAAATAGCAAAGATATAAGAAAAATTTAAGTGGAAGGAGGGACTTTTGGGACACCCGGTATATCAATAAATCGAGACAATATAATTGATACATTTCTCATATATATGATACATATTTTTAGTTATTGAATTTCGAACTACTATTATCGATAGGTTTTTATCGGATATTGCTAATTATGAAAATGGTCAACATAGAATTGATAATGAATCTGACTTTCTGGTTGATTACAGCAGATCAATGAATGATAACGACAAAATTGAATCAACGCATTAGATTTTTCTATTTTTTTAAACTCTTCATGTTGACTGACAATTCAATGTAATTCGTCTCGGTACAACACTTCATTCGTTATTTAATAAACCAGTTACTAATAAATATCCAATAATAAATAGTAAAAAAATGCATTCAAAATATGCATACAAGTTTAAGCGAAACTGGATTAATGTAAACCATTAAAATGGTTGCATAATCATCCGCCAATATTGAATAAATTACGACAAATTTTATCATTACCTAATAGTGAAATCTACAGAGTAGATGAAACTATTAATCTATGTCGTAAGATGACAATTCATAATTCTATTTTCACATTTAGTTTATGATTATTATGTCATCGAATATTTGTTAAAAGATGCTCTTGAAATACAAAAGGTTTTAGTTACACAGATTTCATCGAATATTTAATTTGATCTTTATATTGTTGATTTACTTCAATTATTATTTAATAATCTAAATAATCATTGAACATGCCCATTCGTTAAAAGCTTTTATTAAATTCGCTATACTCATGCATCTTCCTAATGTTCATTATCTTGAGACATGCTTTCTTATCTATACTTTACATGACGAAACGCAAGCATTAAAACACGACATACAAGCTGAATCAATCGAAACTAAAGAAAGAAAAAGAGCATGACTTGTTAATAGCTTGTATCGATCATAGGATATATATTGGTTTTGAACAAAACATCCATGACAGCTGTATCCGAGACATTTTCTCTTCAACAGTATTGTATGAGAACTGGTAGCCATTAAATACCAATGCGAAGTATACTGAAATTAGATTATAAATATAGTTGTAAACCTCACATTCTCCTTTGCTTCACCCTCACCTCCCTCAATGTCATGAGAGCAAATGTTGTTTTAACAATATTGATGTTTGTCGGAACAAAATAAAATAATAAATCAATTGGCTGCTAAAGCATTGATTCTAGTATTATTTCATTGAAAGATTCAAAACGATGATGAAGAATAAAATAAATGCTTGATATCTTCCTTAAATTTATTCTACGTTTTTTTCATTCACAAATCATTTTGATAATCATGAAACAACTATACAAATTCAATAATAAAATATTCCTTTTCAAATGCGTGCTCTGTATTCTATCAACAGTAAATCGAATTTTGCATAATGATTTCAGTTCGTATATTTTAAACCGTTGCTGTAAAACATTTGAATATATCATTTAGAGCTGACAGAATATGAAGAACTCTGTATTGAACTAGAAATGAAACTGGTCTGGATTTTTCATGATCGGTACTGTTTTAAGTAGGCCAAACTGGACTGACTGATCTGTCTAAAATGCATACCGACACTGTTCTGACGAGTTATCTTACAATTCCATCTGTGTATAATGATATTTGACATAGTCAACTTTCAATAAAGTTTCATTTACACATCCTCTATGAGATCTTAATAGCAAAAAAATTAATAAGACACACCGGTAACGACTGGCCTGCAACCAGTATCGATTTCATCTCTATTTTGAACATAAAACGTATGGAATGGTCAGTTAATTTGTGTATACCAACTATAAGATTTTATTAAAAAAAAGCTAAACGAAAATCTAATCTATATCAAATTTGTTTAAGTAATTGTGATCATTAGGAACAATGTCATGAGATACACAACCTAATAACGACTATTAGTCATCAACAAACAAAGAGAGAGGAAGAGATCGTGTTTATTATTTAATCCTATAACAAAAATTGAATGGAATGAGACATTTTCTAATCTTTTATTAAAACTATTTAAAAACAATAGAATTAATTCGAATTTTCGATGTACATTCAAATAGATCATTACTAATGATATTTTTAGTAGTTAGTCAATAGGTTTTTTTTTGTACTTGAAGAATGATATACAATAGTAGAATAAAAAAACATAATAGACATCAATTGTTAATAAAGCAAAATGGCATTTATTAGAAATATTGAAAGTAATTGATAATAATGAGACAAACGATCGATTAGAAATTCTATTGAATAAACTTTGAAAATAATTTTTAATCTATTTATAATAAGCTATTGACTTTTATCAATACATATTTATGAACTATTTGACTCACATAATGTATTTAAATATTTATTAAATTTTATAAATCAAATGAAAGATTTCTTAGTTAAAAAACTAATAGAACTAATATCTTACTGACAAAATTTTCATCTTATGCAAAAAGAAGTCAAATGAGAAAATAATATTATATTTTGTCACTTATGGGTATAATGTCATGGTTATAAATAGAAAAAAAAAGATATGACATAGGAAGAGAAGTTGAATTAAGTAATTAATTATTTTGAACTTTATTTATTTATTTACTAAAAATAAAAATAAATTAAAAGAATAATTAATTAAATTTCAGTTCGAATCTTTAGCTTATTCATCAACATGTATTAGAATTACATTTATATTGAAATCCTTATTGTTGATGTCTTGAACTGATAAAATCTTCTTCAAGATTTTTTGGCAAGTACTAATTCGACGTAATTCGTTTCCGTTAAACTCTTGATCAAATGTCTTTTTTTTGTTTATATTGTCTTCTTAAATGAGTGTTATAAAAAAAAAGCTTTTAGCTTGTATCTAAATTGTTATAAATAAAATCAATTCTTATCTTCAGTAATACGCTTATCTATTTGATGACTAACTTTTTGAATACAGATTATATATTGGTTCGGTTCATTTCCAAAAAGTGCAATTGTTTCGAACTAAAAATAACTATTGAATATAATTAAATCTATAGATCGATACATTCCGACAAACGTATTTCAAAGAGATGAGAAAAAAAAAGAATATCAATGATCTACTTAATAATATAAAGTACTTCTGTATTTTCCTTTTGTTTTTTTGAATATTCTAATGTATTAAAATGAACGTTAAGATAGTATGTCAATAGGTTCTTTCATGTGTTTTCTTTTTATTGACAAGATCGGAAAAGAAAGTTACCCGATTTTTTAAATATCGTTTGATGTCAAATAGTTAATGCTCTTCAGTTCTCGATTTTCTCTTCCTTTACCTTCTTATTTTATTTTTCGGTCTTATTAGCTTATTTTAATAATAGTCAATAATAAATTCATAGAGATCATATATGAAACGTACGTGTTATGCATACCGTTATATATATATGTTTCCATGCACGATCAATATATGATTAATATTATCAAACAGGAAATTGATCAAAACAAAAAAAATATATTTTGAACAAAAACTAATTGTATTAGCTTTAGCAGATTAGAAATCAATATTCGTGTTGAAAGGAAAATGATTTAAACACATTAGTATAATTGAATAATGAATTATAGTGATTGATGAAGCAAAATCAAATAATAAGTAAATATATAGAAGCAAAGATATGTGTTTGCTATTCACTAAGTAGAAAAGCCAGGAAGATCCTTTTCAAAATACGTGATCGGAGAGACAAATGATAAAAAAACCGTCGAACAAAGAAGAGAGAAATGCAAAAGAAAGAAAGAAAATTCAGAGTCCATTAGTTACGGAGAATAAAAAAAAAAAGCCGAGCAACACTTCTATCGAAGTCTTCCTTTTGCTTTTTCCATCATCATTCGCAGTCTCTTTTAGCATTCGATTATCTAAACTTTTCATATACATCAATATCTTTCTTGAAATCATCAGGTATACATATATTCATTTTATTTTTATATTTAAATTCTTATTTCAATATAATATAGTAATCATGCGTATGATATCGATCAATGCTATTTTATGTTTATTTATTGTTTTAATCGGTATTGCTGTTTCATCAAGCTCATTAATCGATAACGATGAAGATGCAGCTGCTGCTGCTGCTGCTGATTGGAATTACTTTGATAGTTATTATCCAGCTCATCTTCTTAAAGCACGAGCAGCTAAATCACGATTTTGGAAACGTGCACCACATCGTAAATTTTGGAAACGATCTTTAAATGAACCAGCAATGAACAATAACGATATGGCTGATTCAGCACACAGTCAATTTCAACAACAAGAAAAGCACTAGATCGTCCTAAGAACAATATAAAAAAGACCAAAAAAGACAAGACCTTTTCTTTTTTTTCATAAGTTTTGTTCTATCTATATTTTATTCAATGAATTCACTGGTGTGATACTCCGTCGAATAACAAGACGAAGATATTAGCCTGTGTGTCGTTGAGAATATTAAATCTTAAATAATAATAATAATAATAAAAGAAAGAAAAGGAAAAACAAAATATAATTGAATAAAAAACAAAAGTGAA